ATGGTTAAGGTACAAGTTAAAAACACTCTAAATGTAATAACTTCTCCACTAGTAGACTTTTTTTTATTTTATCTTTAAATTAAGGATTTGAGAATCTTTTTTTTTTACCTATATTCTCCTAAAAATATATAGATAAAAGGAGACTTTTTTATGATAAAATGGAATTAAAATCAAAGAAATGATTATAAGGTTATAATTGAAAAAAATATTTATTTATCTTAAAATAGGAAAAAATGTTGTTAAAAAAAGATTTTTATTTAATATGCGTTGTAATCATAATAAAGAGTAAAAAATAAATTTAAAAAACTCAAATTAAAAATTAAATTTACCAAGAGTAAAAAATAAATTTAAAAAACTCAAATTAAATATTAAATTTACCAAGTTTAAAACAGGAGAGTATTATTCTAGACAAATCCTTTATTAAAAAATATTTATTGTTTTAGTAGGAGGGGATAAGATGGATGTAGGGGTATATATTTTGCAAACCGTTAGCTACCTTCTGTTGCTGTTGGAGTTGGAGGAGGAGGTGAAAACGGTACAATAGTACTCTTAGCTGAATCGTCGAAAAAATTTACAATCCCGTATTTTAAGAAACAGCTGGGTTGAACAATTCTGCATCCGGTGTTTCCATAGCAGAAAGTCCTCATCCTGTCGCTGGCCGTCGCCAGACAAGCGCTGCAATTTTCATGGGACAGATCCGGGGTACACTGCATCATAGCGTAAATGCTTTGGGAAGAAACCGTTGAACCCGCTGCAAACTTCAAAAGAGAATCTCCGGTAGCCGCACCGACGCTTAAATTTTTCAACAAGAAACTCAAGGCCCTGTCGAAATCATTAACATCAAGCGGTACACTTTGGCTAGCAAATCTATTTATTTTATCAAAAGGATCGACTTCCATAACTCCGATAATTTTTCGTGTTGAGTACCGTACGGTGCATAATTGTTGTGACCACGCGATTGCTTCTTTGTTTCTGGGACAGACTTCTTGGAGCGAGGAGATGGTCTCACTCAGGCAATTTCTGCAGTTGTTCTCATTTTGGTCTCCCCTGCAGAGTGCAATTGCATTGACCTGGTCAGGGCTTTGGCCAACGGATATATTATAGAACCCATAGTTGAAATCCTGGTCCGATGATTTCAACTGGGAGAAGAGACGATTGAGGTTGGCCTCGTAGGGACTGTTAGCAGTGAAGTTTCCGTGGCTGATACTACAATTATACCGAAAATACAGAGCAACTTTGGAGGAAGAGAGATTTATGTGAAAAGCGGAGGATAGTAAGAGCAAAAAGAGTCTTGAAAATCCCATTTGGCTGAAAAAAGAGTAAATCAATTTCACTCTAAATGGGAGCTGGG